AAGGGAAGGGAAGGTAGTTAGGGTTTGGTTTTGTTTTTTTTTTAGAATTAAGTAACACCATCTAATACTGAACCAGCAAGAATAAACATAAAAATGAAATAAAACTTCATAGGTAAAAGTTTCTTAAACATAATTACATACACAATGGCTAACTATAAAGGAAAATAAGTGATAAATAGGTTAAATTAAGAACTCTATGGGAGAGGGTATAGCTCAGTGGTGAAGTATGTGCCTAGCATGCATGAGGTCCTGGGTTCAATCCCCAGCATCTCCATTAAAAATAAATAAGCCTAATTCCCTCCCCCATCCCATTAAAAAAAAAAGTAAAATTAAAAGCTCTGCTCATCAAAAGATCCCCAGTAAGAAAGTAAAAAAGCAAGCCACTGAGTAGAAGAGATTTGTAATACATCTACTCAATAAAGGTCAAACATCCAAAATACATTTTTTAATTTCCATAGTAAAAGAAACACAAAAATGGGCAAAAGATTTAAACAGACACTTCACAAAAGAACATATGCAAATGCCAATAAGCATGTGGAAGGTCACCAGGGTAAATGAAGTTAAAGCCATTCCACACAACCACCAGAATGGGGGAAGGAAGTGTTGGTGAGAATACGTCTCAGGCACCACCGGCGGGAGCGTGTAATTAACAAGACCACTCGGGAAGGCTCTCCTAGTTCCTATTTAGGCTGAACACGCCTATTCCAGACTCACTCTCAATATGGGAACCTCAAGGTGTCTGGCATTTGCACTTTTGCAAACATGCCAACAAATTTAAACACACGACCATGAAAAAAGTGTTCAACAATGTTTATAGCTGTACTATTTCCAATACCCCCAAAATTGCATATAATCTGAATGCCCATCAACAGCAAATTGCATGAATATATTGTGGTGTATTCATACAATGAGGCTTAATATACAGCAATGAGAATGAACTACACACAAGAACAAGGATTACTGGACAAAAGAAGGCAAGCGTAAGAAAATTCATACCGTGTGATTCCATTTGTACAAAATTCAAATGGGCAAAATTATCCATGGTGTTAGAAGTCAGGGGAGTGACTATTCTGGGGACCACGGGGCACTGGTAACTCGAAGGGGTTTCTTCCTGGGGACTTTCTGGGGTGGTGGTAATATTCTGGACACTGAACTGAGCACTGGTTACACAGGTGAATCAACTTCATGAAAATTCATCAAACCATAAATCTATGGTTTGTGTACTTGCTATAATGTTTGATGTCAAAAAAAATTTACAGTGAAGAAAACATTTCAAGGGCATTCTAGCAACACCATTTTGTAAAAGGAAATACTCCAACCTCATCTCATTCACAGGCATTCATTTATCAGTAATCAGCTTTTAGAGGGTTTCAGAAGTTCAAATAGTCTACTCCTAGAAATTATTTTATCATACTCTAAAAAGACAAATTATCAAATGGAACTATTAATTATTTTAATAGTAACAAAATTAGAAGTCACAAGGTATAGAAACAAAAAGAATGTGATGTTGAGCATCTTTTCATGTGCCTGCTGGCCATCTGCATTTCCTCTTTGGAAAAATGTCTATTCAGTTCTTCTGCCCATTTTTTAATTGGGTTGTATTTTTTTAATACTTTTATTGTGATATGATTCCTAGGTTTTTTGGGGGGGTGGTTTTATCGTTTGTTTTTGATATTGAGTTGTATAAGCTGTTTAAATATGTTGAATATTAACCCCTTATAAGTCAAATCATTTGCAATTTTTTCCCTATTTGGTACATTATCTTTGTTTTGTCGATGGTTTCCTTTGCTGTGCAAAAGTTTTTATGTTTAGTTAGGGCCCATGTGTTTATTTTTGCTTTTTAATTCCTTTGCTTTAGGAGACAGATCCAAAAAAATACTGCTGCAATTTATGTCAAAGAGTGTTCTGCCTCTGTTTTCCTCTAGGAGTTTTATAGTGTCCAGTTTTACATTCAGGTCTTTGGTCCATTCTGAGTTGATTTTTGTACATGGTGTTAGAGAATGTCCTAATTTCATTCTTTTACATGTAGCTATCCAGTTTTCCCCGCACTACTTATTGAAGAGGCTGTCTTTTCTCCTTTTCTCTGTTATATATTCTTACCCCTGTTCTTAAAAGTAGAAAAGTAGAAGCAACCTAAAAATTCTAAACTCTGGGAACTACATGCAACACTAGGAAACTGATTTTTAAAAATCCACGAATCAAATCTATTAACATGAAGAGGCTTACAAAGAAAAAGCTAATACATTTACTGATCCTTCTGAAACAAAATTAAATTTATCCATACACACACTGATACTTACACAGAGCTGACAACCAACCAGTCCACTCTCATTCAGCCAGTCTGCTGACAGAGGCCACTGTCTGTCTGGTTGGTGCCTGTCCCTACGATCACTAAATATTGTCCCTCATCACCCTGGTACATGCACAGCAAAGTGTAAGGAAGAATATACAACGAAGATGAGCAGTAGTTATCTACTAGTGAGTATGTCACGATGACTTTTATTTTCTTCTTTTACTCATCAGTATTTCCTAAAGTATTTATGTGTTACATTTTAAAGTAAGTCCTAACAAAATATGGATCAATATTTTAATAAAATTTAAAAAAATCATTAATGTTCAAGAAAAAAATGTAACCAAGAAGCTTCTATAACTAAAAAAACTTGTCACCTGTATCACATTTTTTTCACCTGTATCACATTTGATCAATCTCAAACTCTCAAGGGTATAAAGATCCTAAAATTTCACCCCACCCAACCACAAAATATTATGTCAATGGTATTAAGAAGAGAAAATGGGAGAAATAAATTAAAACTAAAATTATTTTCACATTGGAAATTTTCATTTCACTTTCATCTAAAATCAGTCTGAATGTATTATTTGTCCCATGACTCTATCACATATCAAAAGGATATTAAGTTGTATCAGAATTAATTTTCCACTAGAAAACTGAAGGCTGATTTTAATCCTAGAGTTCTATTTTTGAAGAAAGTTTTAAAAAAGCAAAAAGAAAATTAAGACTGAAATAAACATCATGAATTTAAAGGTCAAAAAACTACTAATGCTCATCCAAATAAATGTCCATTAAATAACCTTTGAACTACAGTCTACACCTTAAAATGACTAGGTTTTACCATTTACTCTTTAAATAATCACTCACCTATGATGTCTTCTTATCTCTGCACATTCTACTGCCATCCCAAATATGACAGCGCTTGCCGGTATAACTTTCCCATATTTTTCACAATTACCATTTTCACCTTTGGCCTAAAAACATAACAATAAAAATTATATTGTTACATTTATGTCAAAATATGTGTGTATGATGGCAAGCTATGAAAATTTATGAGAAAAAACTTCAAAAACAACAGTTAAGGATACGCAGGTCAAGTTTTTTTTTTTCTTTAAAAAGTTTCTTTCATTTTCATTGCTATATATAAACATACATATTTTTTAACAGTACAAATAGGAAGGGAGGGAGGGAGGTGGGGAGCTAGAATTCTCTAAGCCTGCCTACAACCAAAGACTACTGGGTCCGACTTTTACTGAGAAGCCAAAATCACCATTACCTGCTTGAAAAATGAACTGCTCTTCCAACCTTTCATTAGCTACTTTAAATCCAAATCATTTTCTGTAAGTAGTGAATTCTTACTGCAAGTTAAAATCCTTCCATTCATAATACATATTATATAATTCAAATCTACAACTGATGGGCCACAGCAGAGGAAATATAACTTGGCAATTACACAAGTCAGTCCTGTCCCTTCAGCAGCCTGGGTCCAAGTGGTACCTTAAACCTACAGCATGCCAGTTAGCACTACATTCCCTTTTGATAATTTGCCAGAAATACAAGCAATGAAGGCTGTGAGATTGAAAGCACTTCCCCTTCTCAACCCTACTCAAGAATTCCAGAGTCAACCCCTTCATAATGTAACCTCAGTTCCCACGAATCCCTTCCTGGAGTATTTTTCTGCCTCTGAATCCCATCTGGGCACACAAGTACACATTGCGTTATGTTACTAAATGTTTTTTTTTTTGCACAGATTTCTTTCCAACTACAGAGCATGCACTGCAACAGTGGGATGTTATCTCATACTGCCCTGCAACTATGCTCAGGGCTCAAAAAATGATCTACTGAATACTGAATTCTTAATCAAATTTAAGTCTTTTCATGCTGCTTACCTTTGGCTGCAAAAGTAAATGCTCCCATGCATGAATCAAACTCTCCACAATTCCTTCTCCAAATAAACCTGCATCGACAGTTTCTGTTACAACTAGGGACACTCTATAGAATGATTTTTTAAAGATACATGTAAGTAAAATATCATGCTATTTGTATAAAAGATGTCAAAGCTGAGAGAAGAAAGGAAGAGTATGTTATAGAAACAGTCCATTTTCTAATACATTTTATTTCATTTTTAATATCTACTCTTGAAACTTGAGGAATTCTAATGTTCCCGAGGCTCCTCTCTTCTCCACTGGCAACTTCTTGGTGGGGACAGAAGGCGGTGCACAACCTTCACCTGACCCGCTGCCTCCTCAGATGTTCTTTCATTGCCAAAATCCTTCAGAGTGGGTCACACCCATTACCTTTACCAGCCCCCCTCCTTAATCCTGAGTGATTGGACTTCTACCCTCAAGGTCCTATAAAAATACTCTCTACCAGCAAAGACACTCCTGTTTATCAAAATGAGTAATCTTTCTCAGTTCTAATTTTCCTTGATCTACAAATAACATTCAGTGCAGGGGAGAAGGCCTGCTCCTCACAATCCTTCCCCTCCCTTCACCGTCCGTGTTTACCTCTCACACAGGGACTGTCCTTCTCCTGTTACTTCTCTTGCTTTACCCACACCTGTGAATATTTACGAATGCCTAAGCCACAGAGCTCTGATCTTCTGTCCACTCTTTCTTTCTGGAAAATTTACTCAAAGACACACCAAAAAACTCTCCCTTCTCTGAACTTCCTTAGTCCTTCTGCCAGGACCATCCATTTGTGTAGTTAGAAGATAAGGAAAAGTTTCATGAATATTCCTTATTCTCCTATCTAGATTGTAGGTGCCCTGAGGACAGAGACAATTTTGGTATCCCCCACAGGGCCAACAACCAGTATTTTATACACACACACACACACACAAAACTGTTAGTATTTATGATGGCATACATTTAGAACATGGAAGGTATCTCAAATCATCTAGTCCAACATCTTGAAGTCTCTAGATTTGCGTAAGATCGAAATAAATTAATAAGAGTCTATATTGTAATCGGTATCTTCTATTCAAAGTCAACAGCTCCTTCTACAATACCAACTGTGAGAAAAATGTGGAAAAGTTAAGGTAACTGATTCATGCTATGGGCTGACTTTTGTACTACCAAAATCCACGCTGAAGCACAAATTCCCAGTGTGACGATACTGGAGATAAGGTCTTCACGAGGTAACTGAGGTTAAATGAGGTTCTAAGGGTGAAGTCCTAATCTGATAGGTCTTGCAACCTTATGAAAGTGGAGGAGACAGCAGTGAGCTCTCTCTCACCCCACAGGCACAGAGGAAGGGCCATGTAAGGACACAATAGGAAGGCCATCTGAAAGCTAGGAAGAGAGCTCCACCAGAAACCAAACTCTCCAGCGCCCAAGATCATGGGCTTCTAGCCTGCAGAGCTGTGAGAAAATCAATGTCTGTGGTTTAACCGTGGTATTCTGTCAATGGCAGCCTGAGCAGACTAAGACAAGTGAGGACACTGTTTATTTCTGTAAAATGGGTGTAACAGTTGCCTCAACAATCTAACAGGACTTCTTTCACAAGAACAAATGCTGAGACCATTGAAAAGCATCACTGTTAAGTAAATAAATATAAATACTATCATACACATATGGAAGAAGACTTATCACGACAGAGCATAAAAAAGCCCTGTTTCGATGTAAAGTGAACTTTCGAACGTTGAGAAGACAGACTACCCAGGAGAGGGATACAGCAAGTGCTACCCAGAGAAAACTCTGTATCTAAAATGGCAGTTGTTGGACTAGATGATTTTCAAACCCCTTCTAGCTCGAAAATTCCATCTTCTTGTGACACAGATCAAAGTGAAATAACATCCCAAAAGGCTAAGACTTAGGAAATAATATTCAAAGCATTTGAAGGGCCCAAGCCAACATACAGCTGATACTTCCTAAGCTTCCATTTTAGCCAAGGATATTAACACCGAATGTGATAATTCATTCAAGCCTAACCTACTCACGCATTATTTTTAAGCACAATTTTTAAATACTTATTGACCACACAGGAGGTACTATCCATTTTTACAGCTAGAACACTAAAATCAACAAAGGTAAAGTAACTTGCTAAAGGTGAAATTTATTTATTAAATGTCTTGCCACGAATTTTTCTCAAGATCCTTAAATATTTTTTATCAAGAATATGACCTTATTATGAAAACCTGTCTTATGCTGAACTACCCTATTATCCATATCTTTACAACAGAACGGTTTCAGCATTTTGGTTTGGGCTAGAAGCTAGAAATGTGAATATCTTAATTTTTAAAAAATACAATAGTAGATTATAAACACCAAAATTAGTTCATATTATAATACCTTTCAGGAATGTGTTTTGGGATTTCTATGTCAAGTGACTTCATGTGTAAGAGTTTGATCCCTGCTTCCATCTTGTTTGCTGCCACGACATCACAGGCAAGTTCATACATGGTCTTGGATAACTCACAGGCATACACCGCGTGCGCTCCAGCTTTTTTAGCAAACATGCTACAAGGGGAAAAGGGGCTCCATCAAGAAAAAAAAATGAACTGTATTTTTCCAAATTTTAGTGGAATTACAATGCTTAAACATGGGGCTTTCCTTTTATTCTTTAATACAAACATTATTCATTCTGCATTTTTAAAAAATGAACTAACATTCTTGTCAAGAGATAAATCACACAAAAAATCATGACATCCACCTTATTAAGACACAGTTGGCATGCAGAATGCTAATAAACTTTAAATAACTAGATTCAACCAGAACGTTAATGTAAAAAAGTATTCTTAAAACTCATTATTCAAAATTTCAACGTTAACCCCAAGTTTTTCTCGGTGGTTATGTCAAGTTCATGATAAAATAAAAGCTACAGTGAAAATAATAGTTAATAATAATAATTGCATGAATAATCATAACAAGATTATAAGAAATAAATTAAACTCTATTTTTAAATTCCACTGCTAAATTTTCCATATTTGGTAAAATCTTTAATTTACATAAGCACACATGTATATGTAATTAAAACACAATTGCAACAAACCTTAGTATTCCAGTTCCTGCTCCAATGTCCAAAACACTTTTGGACCCCAAACAAACTGCCTTTTGGATTGCTGCGTTATAAATCGTATTCCTTTTGGTGTCATTAAGCATGATGAAGTGCCAGCGTTCCACCAACCAGTTTGCAACGCGATAAAAATTCTCCTTTGCGTCACTGAAATCAGGGTTTAACTTCACCGCTTTACGAAAATACCCAGCTGCTTCATCTCTAAAGCCCATCCTAGAGTAAAAAAATGACAGACAACATATTCAACCATATGCTATCAGTTACAGTGCCTCTGCTCATGTCACTCATCTGGCCTGAGAACCCTCCCCAGCACCCCAAATCCTACTCAACCCAGTGCCGTCTCCTTGGGAAGCCTTCTGTGAGGACGGCCATCCTCCATCACTTCTTTCCTTTCTGAATCCGTTATGTTTATGCATCCCAGGACACTCACAAGTACCTGACTATGAATTACGACTGTACTGTGGTGTGGCAGAAGCTCTCCTAGTCAGCTTCCATTTAAACAGTTTTCCAGAACAGGGGTTTCTAAAAACCATTCCCTCTGTAAAAGGTACTAACGCCTGTGGCTGGCAGGTGCCTCTCTGGTGTGTCACGCACCTTTCTCTCCACAGCCGAGCTGTGTGGTCATCGATGGTCCCTTGTAGTTGCTGCCAGACTGGTTTACACCAGCTGTACTTTTTTTTTCTGTTATAATTTAATTAAATATAACAGAAATCAAATAAATATGACTAAAAAGAGAGCCACTGTTTGATAAAAAAACAAGTTTCTTCTGTATAGCACAGGGAACTATATTCAATATCTTATAATAACCTTTAATAAAAAAGAACATGAAAACAAATATATGTACATATACACATGACTGGGACACTGTGCTGTACACCAGAAATCGACACATTGTAACTGACTGTACTTCGATTAAAAAAATAAAATAAAATAAAATGAGAGCCACTGTGCCTAAGGGAAAAAAATCAAAGGTGAGTCACCCCAAAAATTGCTACTGAATTAGATGTAAGCAAATCAATCATAAAAGACAGGGGAAGAAAACTATCGAACTGTCTGGAATAGTGCTTCATAAACTATCTATGGTAAAGAACTTCCCCCTCCTTGAAAAATATCTAACCATCTGTAGACCAGTACAGTTGTACTCCACATGACTAGCAGGCAACCCCTACACTAGATTTCAGCGGCACTCAAAGTGGTCCACACCCCCTTCAACAGGTGAGTTCCCCGATTACGTGCTTGGATTTTCTGCAATGTCACACTGCTACATATTTACTCTCAATCTCTATACTCGTCTGTCATCGATTGGTCATTTGTGGATCAGCACCAGGGTGTGGTCCACACAGTGAAGAGAATCGAGCTAGCAGAACCCTTTAACACTCACACTTCTTCACAAGCACCTTGAAGTATTCTGTCAGTTTTAAAGAAACTGAATCAATCAGACTATTCATTTGGGGTATGGGTTTAAGCAAAAAAAGGAACAGCCCGATGTCAAATGACAGGCACTCATTTTAAAATGTTTAAGATTAGTATCTGTTATTTTCCAGTTTCTTGAAGGTAAAGCTGTCTTACTCTGCAACTGACACCAGCCCACAGTACAATACAAAATACATCCTATGTAATCTATTGTTGAGACACTAACTTAGCAATGGATATTAAAAAATTTCAAAATATCAATGATCTGTTGAATCAATGCCAAACCTGCTCCTAATAATTTCCTGGCTTTGTGTTTCCCTTAGGTTTGCTCTTCAATATATCATTCAGATTTCTTAAACTGCAATGCTACTGCTCTGAAAAAATATATGATCCACTCAACTGAAGTATATCTCGTATTAAAACACTCAAAATGTTGTGTCAATGTCAATGAACTTTAAAAATGCCTTTTTTCTACTAACAAGAAAAACCATTATCTTCCTGATGAGAAATTTAAATACGTTTTGTTTAAATCTGATACTACTGGCTTAATAGAAAGCTGAGACACTCCAGACACAAATTTTATTTCACAAATAAATGTCAGAAAAGGAGGCTATCCTTTACTTTGGAAATCCTTTCCCCCTGGAATAGTGATTCTTCTGATGGGGCATGAGTGATACACTGTTCTTGATGAGAAAAGCAGAGTATTACAAAAGCTAAGAACCTGTCCTAGAGAACAAAGGCAAACTGTGTAGCAAAAGCCACATTCACACTCTGACAAGTTCTGAACCGCCAACGTCTGAATTTAAAATTTTGCATAGTGATATCTCCCCAAAGCAATTTAACACCAAGTATTTTTTTCTCAATGACTGGTGATTGCTCAGTCTATGTCCTACAGCAGTAGACCAACAACAGAATCTGCCAGAAGTGTGTAGAGCTCCAATTTTCTGTTAAATTGAGTTTATCTTGAAATGTAAGCCCTAGAATGTTGTGATCATTACATGTGTATAATTTGGAAATATAATCAAACCCTATAGAGTAACTCCTCTTACATAATCTAAACAACTAGACACTTTGAAAGTAAAATGCAGATTTTTAACTAATTTGAGGAGATATCTAAAACTTTTTAAGCTAAATTTCTCTTAAAAGGGAAGTGGTTGCTAATTTGTGGAGATGGAGTCTGTGTATCAGGATCAGGTTAGCTGTTAGTGTGAACAAACAAGCCTCAGCTGACAACCAACTTTATTTTCCCTGCTATTGTCACACTACAACTAGACACTATCAACTTCCTGTCCCTTAAAGGAGTACTGACTTCACTCGCTAAGCCATTTTGATTAAGACTATGGCACTGTATAGCAGTTACGTTACGGAGACTGACTAATACAAGTTGGATAAAGGCATTTCTTTTTTCATTGAATGAAACTTGGTATGACCAGGTGGGCAAAGCAGTGGTATTAAGGACAGCTGCTGGGACGTATAAAGTGATTTACTCTATAGAAAAGGGCACTGCAATGGTGTTTCCTAAACAAGAATTCTCCTTGTACTTTGTACAAAGCCGTGAAACCAGATTTATTAAAACAAATCCCAATCAAAAACTGGGGGGCTTTACCAGTTCTTCTATTTATGAAATGTCTATGGAGAGTAGACAGAAATCCCAACGGCAAATCTCCAGCAAGTGCCAGAGAAGAGGTTTACAACAAGTTCTCCGGCAAGGCCCCACAATGGCTTCCCTGCCACCCTGTGAACCACGGCGACGTCCCCTCCAACAAGGTCTGGATGTCAGCCCACTGGAGGGAACGCTTCCATGACTACTCTGTCTCAGCCCCAGGGGCAGCAGCTACTACCTAGTGTATGATATAACATTATTACATATTATATCTGCTATCCCTGTATTCCTTTGAGTGCTCTGACTTCTCACTACTCAGTCCTTCATTACTCTGATCCTCTGTTATAGTTTATAATTCTTTATATTAAACTGTCTCTGTTCAAATGACTGTACTACGATTTACCCAATCCAGACTGGTACAGAGTAACTCTTAACGGGTAAGTACTACTGAAGTCACTACACACCTGAAGAGATGCTCCCCCATACTATTGCAAATCACTTCGTCATCAGGAAACAGCTCCAAGGCTTGCTCATAGCAACCGAGTAAGTCTTGTGTTCGACTGAGAGCATCAAGTTCTTCAGCCCATCTGAAGAGCGTGTACTGAAAAGTTTCCTTTACAAAGAAGAAAACAGCAAATGAGTCAATAACATAAATGGTGAAAGAATATTCAACACTGGTTGAAGATGCCACAGAGAACAAATCTTAATTATAGATGAAAATCACCTTGAGTTTAATTTAGAATAGGCCCTGTCTGCTAAATAAACAATACGTAAATGAACAGATTTTACCACCTACTTGGCAGTAACATGCAGAATTAAGACAGTATGACCACCCTCTACTCTCTCCGTACTTGGCTGCCGTATCATATTCTCTACCTCCATTTTTTTGTGGGTTCCTATTTTTTACGAGTATGTCCTTGACCCCCTTCTCTTTTCTTATGCATCCCCAAGGCACTACCTATCACCTATGTATTGATGGATGCTACCCCTACATCTCCAATCAACACCCTCTCTTCTGTTTTATTTATTTTTTTATTGAAGTATAGTCAGTTTACAATGTTGTACTAGTCCCTGGTGTACAGCACAGTGATTCAGTCATACACATATATTCCTTTTCATATTCTTTTTCATTATAGGGCATTATAAGGTAGTGAACATAGTTCCCTGTGCTGTACAGTAGGACCTGGTTGTTTATCTATTTTATATATAGTATATAGTATCTGCAAATGCCAAACTCTCAGTTTACCCTCCATCCCACCCCTTCTCCCCTGGTAACCATAAGTTTGTTTTCTATGTCAGTGAGTCTGTTTCTGTTTTGTAAATAAGTTCATGTCACTTTTTTAAAAATTCTGCATGTACATGATATCATATGAAGACCCTCTCTTCTGAATCTCAGACCCATAGAAACAATCCCTTATTAGTCATCTTGTTAGAGCAGGCAGATAGCTAGATATGACCAGAGAAAGGGGGACACAGACCAAATGGCAGGAATTGGGCAGAAAGGAGGGGCAGAGACCCAATGCAGGAAACTATACATTATGTAAGCACCAGAGGTCCCTGTGCAGAGAAAAAAAGCAGGAACCTCCGGGCTGATAAGCAGTCAGAACCTTGAGGGTGATGAGCAGCCTGGAGGCCAACAAAGAAAGGTTGGAAAAAGTAGGAATCTCCAGTGTCCAAATGTAACCTTTTTCTCATTGTGCCCTCATTTCAATAAAATTAGCCTTGCAGATTAGAAGTACCCATCATGCACTGACACTGACACTTCCGATCCAGACTAAATAAGGACAAAAATCCCTCCTCCCTTTGGGAAGGTGGAGTTGGGATAAAAATCAGGAAATATGACCGCAGACCATTTCCTCCCTAATGAATATTCTGCCCATTCATTTTTATACCCTATGTAACAAAGCTGTCAAAGAAACTCCGGGCAGTTGCTCACCTAAGCCTGCGTGCTCTCCCCTTGAGATGTACTGTCCCTCCCTTAATAAATCCTCACTTTACTTTCTTAATCTCCATGTTTGTCTCTGAATTCTTTCTGGGACGGGACAAGAACCTGGAAACCAGTTACATCTACCGGCAACAATCTCAACCAGGGATTGTACCCTCAGCCATCTCAAATTTAGCTCAACTCAAATGCTTCCTGATCAGTGTGCAAAGAATAGCAATAATCAACATATATCCTGTTCTTGTCCTCACAGAGGCTTCATAGAGAGAAATTTAACACACAATTTTGAAAAAATTCAAAATATTCTAAACTGAACCCATCATATTCTCTCACATAGGATATAAGGTTAAGGAACCATCTAACCTCAGACCATGAAGTCACCTTATAATGCTACCTTAACTCCAATACTACTGATTTCAAACCCAGCCAATTCTCTCTCAATAGCTTTAAGTGTGTCACCTCCTCTCCCAGGACTGTTGCAACACAGCCCTTGTAACCACTTGCTGGACTACAGCAACAGCCTTCCCACTGTCACCCTAGCTCCAACTACCCCTCCCTCCAGACAGTCTCCACACTGCAACCCAGTGGGAAAAGGGAAGGCCGTAGTCATTTCAGCTTTCTCGTGAAAAATTTTATATCATCTGCACATATTTTATACAGGAGAGTTAATACCAGAAACTGAATTTTGATGTAGTTTACTAGAGCAACAAGGATAAGGAAGAAGATTCTAGAGTGTGAGGGGGTAAAAAAACACAGATTATATTAAGTGGATCAGGGAGTTTATAGTTATGTCCCTTGGTGTGGCTGAAGTGTGGGTACGGGGAGTAGAGGGAGAAGCAGGAAATAAGATTAAAGAGAAAGCTCTTTTGCAGAGGCCCATGCAAAGAAACACGAGACTGTTCTGCAGGGAACAGCTAGGTACTTAACCCTACTGAACACCCAGCATTGAAATACAAACTTTAGATCTACTTTTACTACACACTAAATATTAAAAAAAAGTATTGTCCCTGTTTTACAAGAGGGAGCTAAGGAACAAAGATTTAAGGAAACAGCAATTGGATGGATCCATTATTCCACTTCTGCCTACCAAGATGAGCAAACTGTATCTCAGCATAACACTTTCTCCTCCTTGAGGCCAGCTGGTCTTGAAATTTACCCTAAATTTATGTGAACTACAGATGTCTAGATGTTACTGATATCTACTGGGTAGAGGTCAGGGATGCTGCTAAACATACTACAATGCACAAGACAGCTTTCCACAACACAGATCTCATCCAAAATACCAACAGTGCTGAGGTTGAGAAACCTTGGGTGAAATAAAGCAAAGCAGCTTCAGGCTGGAAACTGAATGCAAAGGTAAATTAAATCACATTTTGAAATTAAGATTCTAGAATAACTTGACAAAAATGTACAGCATTTCAACAGAATAACTGTCCCAAAAAAATCCAATAAATGAAACTTAAAGAATGCATCATCGAATGATTACTTTAATTCCGAACTTAATTCAACTACAGAAACCCACATTTCCTTCCACCTAACAGAATAGACAAGTGCAAAGGCCCTAGAGCAGGGACTTGCTAGAATTAGACGTAGGAGGCCACAGAAGATCACCTGAGGCCTCACTTGCAACAAAACCTTTCGAACTGCAATTGAAATGTAAGTTTTGAGATAGAGAAATGACATCATCTGCCTTCTGTTCGGAAAAGCTCACGCTGGCGGTGTTGAGGTAAACTGCAGGAGAAAGCCTAGATTGGAACCTGAGCCTATGGCGGAAGTCAGCAGTTGATGACTGAAGCTTGAACCAAGGCAGTAAAAGAGAAAGTAGGAAGTGATATGGCTCTGGATACACAGAGCAAACAGTATTTTCTGATAGGCTGGTTGTGGCTATGAACAAAAGAAAAGAATCAAGAGTGAACAGTAAATATTAAATAGCCACTCACAGTCCCCCTCCCAATTTATTTACGTATGTATTTACGTATACGAGAACAACAGAGGATCCCTCTGCCTGCAGCAAGAGAAAGAAGGGCTCTCCTCACCTTCACATCGTCTTTCAGCTCCGGCGCCAGGCTGAGCACGAGCAGGTAGTGGGCATAGGCGGTGCCGAAGTCCTGGGCGCCCAGGCAGTGCTCTGCGCTCTGCAAGGACCGCGACACCAGCTCGTCTCGCCCGGCTGCCCCCGCGCCACTCCCAGCGCCCTGGCGGGGCCTGGATCGCGAGTTCGGCATGGCCGAGTCACCGCCCAAACCCTGCGCTCCTATCACCGAAGGGAGAGTGCTTCGGTAATCGGAACGAGCCAACTGCCTGGATGCCTACACTTTCATAGGACTAACTGGAGCGCGAGGACTGGTACAGGGAAGTGATCTCTCTGCCGCGGCGAGCGTGCCCACCTCCGCGAGGCAGAAGCCCGCCCCCATCCCCTACCGGCGGCCCCCACCGGCCGGCGGCGCACGCTACTCCGACGTCAGCGCGCCCGACGTGAGTACGTCGCGCCCGCCCCTCCCGCGGGAGGGCAGGAGCGGGGCGGCCACTGCGCGTGCGCCTAGGAGCCCTTTCCCCTAATGGTGTCTGTCTGGCTCCCGCCCGGCTTGTTTCTCCGGCTGAATCCCGAGCTTTCTATATCTCCTCATGGCCTTCAGGAGTGTGTGACTTCGGCTTCTAGACCTCACTCGGCCGACCCCGTCAGCGCAAAGCTGCACCCGCCCGCGAGGGACGTGTGTGGGTATGAGGAGAGGCGGTCAGGCAAACGTTTATGGTGTTGCTTAATGCCTGTGGGTCTGGATGCACCAAAAGTCAGAGTAGTGAGAGTGGAAAGAACCCGAGGAGAACAGAAGCCCCTAGATGTGGTGGAGGAAATGCTTTCACTGGCATTATTTTAAGTCATCCTCACAAAACCCTGTGGGGTGGACTTTTGGACCTCCTTATCTTACAGACGGTGAGAGGAGCATCCTGAGAGGATACTAGCCCGAGATCACCCAGCAGTTCGTGGCGTAGGCGTGGCTCAAACCCGAGTCCCCGAGTACCTGTTCAGTTTTCTTCAAAACGAGCTTAGGGTTTATTTCACTGCTCCGTGTATAGTGGTTATATGAATGCATAGAAAAAGTTTCTCTACGTTCAAGTGTAACCTCTAAGGGATAGATTGGGAACTTTAAAGGGGTGGGGTGTGGATTGCATAGGAAGTACAGCTAAAAAGAAGTCATATGTGTCACCGGTTTTATACATGTTACTGGTGACTGTTTTACTTAACAAGAAACAGAAAATTGAACATTTTGCGTATCAGACGCTAACTTTAGGGCTCCTTGCATTCTCAGAGTTCATCATTTACATGCCTTTTTGCTTTCTCTGTTGAAATTATCTGACCCACCCTTCCTCTGAGCATATACCTATGCAAACCCTAACCAGTTCTTCAAATCCAGATCACTAGATTGTGACCTGCTCTCCTAGTCAGAAAGATCCTCAAAGATAGAATCTGTCCTTAACCACTGTAACTTTGCACCTAGCAGAGTCTGGCTCAACGTAAGGACTCATATTTTTTCATTTTAATGGAAATGACATCCTCCCACTCCTAGGTTTTACATATAGACTTTCGCAAGCAGTTATGGTCCTCATTTCCCTCTCATTCTCAGTTGCTACTTTCTCTACTAAATTTACACTTGAACTTTACAGGATTTCCATATGTCAAGGGGAATCATCAATAATCATTCTGTGATAAGAGTTTCTTTTGAGCCCAACCGAGAACAAACAGTTCTCAGGAATAGCTCTGAGGAACTGTTCCAAGGAAACATGGTTTCAGGTTTTGTATCTTGTCAGAACAAGGCACATGACTGGGGTACACCCCTTCAAGTTTCTTCAGCAAGTACCTAAAAAGTCAGTATGGAGCTATATCAAAGGAGTACTAGCCTTGATGTTCCAGGAAGGGAGACATTTATCTCTATCTGCAGAAGGGACATTTTTCTTCTGGTTAATGCATCCTTTCCTTTAATGGTGAAAACAGCTGTACAATGTATGTTTAATAGGCCACAAAACAGGCTTTTCTAGTTAGCATAAAGCTTAAGTTAAATCATGTGTAAGCCAGAATGAGTTCTCCACACCTCAATATGTGCAAATTTCTTCCACCACCTCACGCAACTGAAATGCTAAAGACTCTAGTGCTAGTAGGATGTAGTCGAACACAAAAAGACCACTGGACTGAAAAAAAAAGTGCAAAGTGCATTCTAGTCTAAGCTGGCCCATTCAAGAACCTCTCAAGAGTCATTATTTGTAGGAAGGGGAAAAAAAAGTCTGAAAAAAGTAGTAAGTATTTAAACTGTATTATTTTATGAATAAATTGGGTACCTACAGGGGAAAAAAAGAACGATTGTTTGTAAAAAGGGCTAACAAAGCTACCTTTCCTACTTTGGGCACAAGAATGATATAACCATCATATGAGATGCTAGATATAAAGGCATTTTATATATAATATAGACATATTTACAGCTATGTATTGTTAGCATTATCTAGAGTCACTTAAAAACCTAGCTAGGGTAGTAAAATAAAAATTAGATTCCTAATACCTTTTTAAGCATTTGATCAGAAGTCTCTACAACTCATATCCTTTAAAAGTCAAATTTAATTTTCTGGAATCTCCCTCCAGGAAGCAGAGGGAGAACTCCCAGTCTTTCTCTCCAGAGATTTTTGTTGTGGGGGAAGCACTTAGACTTCATCATTCTAGTCACCACTGTGAGTCCCTGCTTCTGCTGAATTACTTCACTTTACAGATTATCTGGTACTCTAAGGTGTGCTTTGCCCACCCGCCCAGGGCAAAGTTTCTTTTGTCTTGTTTTGCCTTGTTTTGTTTTTCGGTCTGTTTGGTTTGTTGAGATAACCGGACCACCTAAAGCATCTAGACTACATGAACCTTAAAGTGAACATATTATTACCAAGTTAATATAGGCTGAGATGGAGGAAAAACTTGGCAGGAAGTGGGGAAAGGACAGAGGAGAAGTAAAAGAAGCCAGCTTGGGTTGTTTCATCATCCACAGTATCAACCTGTGGGCAGTGACCACTGCTAGAAGTGTGCAAGAGATGCTTCCTGCCCCTTGTGAAATACTTCAGATAACTTTGTGAGCTGCTGGGTCTCACCAAGTTCCAATGTGATTATTCTAGTTGAAGAAATCACAGGTTATTTGCATTTCTTTGTCATTTATTATAGCTTAGACACTACATAGGGTAGATCATTTTTTTTAATGAAACTGACACAGTCTGGGACATTTGTTCACTATAAGAAACTGAAAAAATACATTTTAATTACTATTTTCCTCTATCACCTCATTCCTGAGACTTAGATTTGCTCAAGTTTATGCAGATTTACTGAAGGTTAACTGTATGTATTGTCATCAGCTTTCACTCCTTTCAAAAGAGCCCTGTTTTCCATCAGGAAGAACCCTGAAGTAGGATGAAAAACAAATGCCAAATGTAGATTTTATTTCTTGAAACTTAGTCAAAGATTTATTTAAAAATATTGAGGGCATCACTCCTCTATTCACAACAGCCTTCCACAACCAAAACTGTGGTCTTTAATTACCTGTGAGTCTGTTTGATTCCTTCATTTATATGCTCATTTTTTTTATCCTCTTTTAGGGTTCTAAGAAAAACCTCACTGTTGGGGAAAACCACCGCTGACTCAGGCAGGTTTAATTGTGGTTGTTTTTTTACTATGTTCTGGGCAGCTTGTCAACAAACCACATATGTCAAACAAGGAAGCAAAACCAACTAAAGGGCTCTCAGTCAACTTTCCAATGTGCAGAAGTTGAAGGTTAACGGCCCAGGGGTGGATGGGGGGAGCTCCTAGGAAGTTCATTAACAAGGGATAAACAGCTTACTGGACACAAAGTATCTTGCGTTTATACCTTCTGTGTATATGTATATCTTTTTGTGTGATCTTGTTTGCTTTACTTTATGGTTTGGAGCCTTGTTCTCAACTCTGTGCATTTTAGGATCATTGGAGGAAGCTTTTAAACAATATCTATGTCTGGGTCTCTTACCCAGAGATGCTGATTTAATTGGCCTGGGGTGGAGTCTGGGCATGAGTATTTTTAAAGAGCTCCCTGGTGAGTCTAATGTGCACTCTAGGGGTGCAGGATACAGGGCAGGCTTCTATAGGGGTGGTTAGGATATTTGAAGTAAGTAGGGTATGCAGTGTAGGCATAAAGGCAGTGTAGGCAGTGGAGATGTATTTTTGTTTATGGCTTAACAAGAATTGTGAAGATTCCCTCAACTAAATTCTTTTGAGTTGAAGTGATTGTGATATGGTGAAGAATAGAGTGTTCATCATATTGAATTGTTGGAGAGAAAATTTTGTAATTGGGCCAAGAAAACACTACAGCCCTCGGCCAACTGCTTGGTATTGGAATTTGCATTAATGCGTTCTCACTGCTAAATATTCCTAATTTCTTCAATTAAAAAAAATCACTACAGTTAGGATTTTTTGTTGTTGTTTTACAAAGCCCTTTTTAACTGTTCCATACACATTTTAAAATCTAGAACTCAAAGTTAGATATAAAACTAACAATGGCCAGACCAATGCTGAGTTCAAAATCTGAGTGCACAAGGGCCTATAATAATGTGACAGGAGAGTTCACAGACAATGAGAGAGAAAATCCGTTTATTGAATGCTCCTCTACACCAGGCACCATACTTGGTTCTGGAGAAACTGCCTAAATCTCCTGCTGAGAATGCCAATCAAATTGTTGGTGCTAGGGATAGATTCCAAATAATCTGAACAGAGCGTGTCCTCACAAAGCATTCAGGAAAATGCTAAAAATCCATTTGACAGAAAAGAATCTAAACCTGGGAGTCACCTCAACTCTTTGTACTCCTCTCCCCACTCCCCATCAGTCACTACTAGTCCAGGTCCCTGCAGAAAAAAGACTTAAAAGGCTTATTAATTAAAGAGAATTTAACCAAAGAACTATTTATGGAGGTCAGGGAAATTAAGGGAGTCATCAAGATTTATGAGGTACCCAGAGACCAGCAACAGCTGGAAGCTATTACCATCCCTTGTCCTGAAGAGGCAGAAGGAGAGGACTGAATTACCAGAACCCAGAAAGAGCTGTAGCTGTGGAAGAGGGGCCACCTAAATACAAGTGTGGCCACAAGCAGAGGAGAGAATCCCCCTGCCTGCCAGTCTCTTACCTGCCTCCTTTTAAAAGAGCCCAATCCAAAGCCAGCCAGTACGGGACCTTGGATGATTCAGTCTGTAGAGTCAGCCATTCTACAGGGTACAGAGAAGGGCAGAGAAAGGTAGAAAATGGTTCTGTGGGGCAAATGGAAAATAACCAGCAAAATTACCAAGTTTGACTCTTCCTAAATTTTTAAAACTCTGCTCTCTCCTGTCAATGCTTATTACTACTGCCTGCATTCATCTTCTTTTGATCT